TGGGTGGCCAAAAATGAATGTCCACCAGACTCCCTCTTGAGAGACCAGGAAGGTGAAAGGAGACAATAGCTCTAGATTTGAGAGCACTTTTATTACCAGGTTCCGCCTACTGCTGCCCCTCCAGTGGTTCCCCATGTCTACAGAGAAGGTGACAAAGGCGGCAGTGAAGGAGGAGGAGAAACGCCTTTATTGAAGACAGTGTGGACACAGAAGGGGGAATGGAGTGAGAACGTGAGGTGGGGTCCAGGAGCTGGTGCCTTTCTCGGCTCCACTCCTAGAGGCTGAGCAGAAACAGGCTGGCACGCCCTGGCCCAGCACCAACAAGGCCCTGCTCTCCCTTGGGAGAGGGCCTTATGGGTGGGAGGGAGGCAGGAGGCCTGGAGTTCCCACAGAGGGGCCAGAAGCAAGCAGATTTCACCGATCCATGCTGTCATCCGTTGGGCTGGAGAAGCAGGTCTGTAGCAGCTTTTCACAGAACTCCAGCTCCTCCTAGATTTGGGGGTGGGGAACAAGAGCTGGAGCCCTGAATGCAGAGGCCAGTTGCTGCCTACAGCAGCACACCCTGCACCCAGGGACAGCTCCTCTTCCCTTCCCAATACCTGCCTGCCCCAGAACCTTCCCAGGATTCTCTGATCTCTGCTTAAATCCATGACTCATTGTTTCTATTCTCACCCATGTCTGGACTACTTTACAAGACTCCAGAGTCTCCCAGCCTCTGGTCACACCCCACTGATCTGTCCTCACATCCGCCCCCTTGGGCTCTTTCTAACTTCCAGCTACAACTGACCCCTACTTATCCCTACTTAAAACCCCTTCCATGGATACAAACCCCAGAAACCAAGAATAAAAGCACTGACCAGTTGGACTACATAAACATAAAAGGGATCTGCATGGCAAAAAGATGCTCAAAACAAAAATGAAAGAAAAGTTGATGGGGAAAAAACTGCAACTCATCACAAAGGCTAACACAGTTAATCATTAAAGAGCTTTCAAAAATCAGCTGCAGAAACCACCACCCAGTGGTTAAATGGGCAAAGAAGACGAATGAGTTGTTCACAAGAAAGGAAAAAGATGCCCAACTTCACTCATGGAATAAATGCAAGTGTAAACTGGATTCGCCAATCGGCTTGAAAGAAGGTCAAATGGTTTGAGCCACACTGTTCTAGCCAGGATGTCGGAGGCTGGACACCCTCATGACTGGAGTGTGGACCAGTTCAACCTCTACAAAGCACAACTTGGCAATAGGTAACAAAATGGCCTACAACTCTGTAACCTCACCTTTAACTCACCATAACCGGGTCTTTCTCTTTCTAGAAATTTGTTCTGTAGACATACTAACACATATAAAGTAACATCAGTAAACTGTTATTCTTTTAGCAGAGTTGGCAGTAGAGAGGGACTGGGAACAACATCCATGTCCCTCAAGAGGGGCATGAGAGAGGTGACCCTACCATGCAGCTGTACAAGGAAAGAAGAAAGAGCCTGAACCTAACACACTCCCAGAGATGTTGTGAAAAGGAGTGAAGCGAGGAGCAGGACAGAGGTTAGGATAGGCTGATTTGGCACAGAATGGAAAGAAGAGGAAAAGCACGTGCATGTTGTTTGTTTGTGCAGATTATCTCAGGAAGGCTACACGAACTGGGAGAGGTACTGGGTGGCTAAAGTCAGGTTGTTCTTTTATCACTTATTTGTTGTTTGTCATCTATTTAAATATCTGTGATTTATAACTTCTTTCTTAATATCTATATAAATATCTAATGAGTTATCACTAATTTGTTACTTATCTATTTGACTAGGAAATTTTACCACTTATATAATATCTAATGAGTTATTTATCATGTATTTGTTACTTATCTATTAATTAAATATTTAATTGGTTCCTATTTATCATTTACTTGTTATTTATCTATCTAATAAATATTTAATTATGTTAATAATTAAAAGACGTCATTAACCCTTTAAGAAACTCAGCTTCTTGTTCTCCCTTCTGTCCCCGGTACTAACACAGCACAGGGTACATGGGAGGTAGCAGTAATGTTTGCTAAATGGGTGACAAGAGAAACACATGAATGGAACATAAAGAAAACATGGAGAACAGGCCGCAGAGGCCCCAAGGGCAGGAACAGGGCTCCCCGCTGCTAACTCCAGCACGGATCCCCTCAGCTAGCCCCACCTGGTACTCCTCATGCTGCTGCAGCAGCTGACAGCGGTGGCGGAGCAGCTCCTCCAGGCCCAGCTCCGGCTCCCGACACTCCCGCACACCCTGGGGGAAGTCTGTCACCAGGCTGTGGGAACAAGAAAGCAGTCCTTGGGACCTCCCTCTGTAGAGCACTCCCACAGGAGCCTGGGCAAGACAGTTCCCCACATTGGGCCTCAGTTCCCCCATCTGTACCATGGACCTCATTCTGCCCCCACCCCACCCCAGGCACCAGTACAAAACATAGTGACCTGAAGCCAACTCCACATACGGGAGCTGCTCCCCGCTTGCTCGGCTGCTCCACCCTGTCATCTCTTTAGATATTAATCTGCTTGTACTGTGTTGCAAGGGATGGAAGAGGTTTAAGAAAGCTGCTTCCGCCTCCGCGGGCTGGTAGGCCAGAGCCTATTATTGCCATCCTGGGAGGTGGGGGTGCCCATGCCAGGCCACACTCCCTCAGGGACCCAGCACACCTGCACAGGGCTCCAAGCACGTGCTCATGGAAGGGGCTGTGTTCTGTCCGGATGAGGGCCACCAGCTGCTGGACCATCCCCATGGAGCACAGGGTCCCTGAGGGAAGGGCCTTAGGGTCAGAAGGGCAGTCCCCACCCCTCCTCTGTGCACTCCCCCATCGCCCTGCTACCCAACCTCCCACAGGGACCACCCCAGATCCCCTGCCCCAGCCACCCCACCTTTGTGTTCCGGGTGGCCCACCAGCAGGTTCTGCAGCAGAAATGCCGACTTGACCTTGAGCTTTTGCACATGCTGCTGCATGGCCCGCATCAACACAGAGAAGCCATCCAGGCGGAGGAACTGCAGCAGCCCAGCCTCCTGCTCCCGGACCAAGCCTAGGGGGAGAGGAGAAAGGATAGGCCTCAAAAGTCATGGTCACCATCGTCACCATCACCATCATCACTATCATAACCATCATCTTCATCATCATCTTCATCACCATCATCACCATCATATCACCATCACCATCAATATCATCACCACCATCATTACCATCATCATCATCAATTTTTATGGGCCTGCACTTCACAAGCATTACCTTTTTCAAGTTTTTTTAATTGAGATACAATTAATGCAAGCTATTAGAAGAAAACTGGCCCCATCCCTCCCTCACTCCGCTCTGGCTCTTGGTACCACTGGGGCACCAAGTTCCTCTGTCTGCCCTTTGTGGCCAAGTCACCCCTTGTCTGTTTGTCCACCTGTCTCCCCAATTTTGGACGTGACTTTCCAAATGCCACCTTCTCCAAAACTCCTTCTCTCACCCTTGCCAGAATTCATTCCTCCTTCACCTAATCTCCTATCCAAACCCTCTCTATTGTTCTCCTGGGGCCATTGTGACATAACATATAGGTCTCTGTCCCTGATTTCTGACACCAAGCTCCTAACACCCTTGGAATTTTCTGGGTAATAGAAGCATCTTTTGTCCTAATGAGGCCACTCTGGGTGGTTCCTGGATGGGGGCTGATGACCAGAAAGCCTACACCCTGATTAGAAGCTTGAACTTTTCAGCCCCACCCTCTATCCTCCAGAGAGGGGAGGGGCTGGAAATGGAGTTAATGATCCATCATGCCTACATGAGGAACCCTACATAAAATCCCCAGAGTATGGAGATCAGAGAGCTTCCCGGTTGGTGAACACATCCATGTACGAGAAGGGTGGTGCGCCCCAACTCCACAGGGACAGAAGTTCCTGTGCTCAGGACTCTTCCAGACCTTGCTCTATGTACCTCTTCATCTGGCTGTTCATCTGTGTCCTTTATCACATACTTTATAATAAACCACTAAACATTAAGTCAATATTTTCCAGAGTTCTGGGAGCCATTCTAGCAAATTATAAAACCTGAGGAGAAGGGTTGTGGGAATTTATAGCCAGTCACTCAGATGTGTGGGAGACCCCGACTTTCAACTGCCATCTGAAGTCTCATGGGACTGACCCCTTCACCTGAGGGGTGTGGACTCCCTTGGGGTAGTTAGTGTCAGAATGGAATAGCAAGACACCCAGTGGCTGTCCAGAGACTAGAGAATTGATTGTTGTGGAAACTGCCTCCATGATTAGTGTTGCAGTATTGTGAGTAAAGGAAATGGGTTTTCATCTAACTTCAAAGAAACACAGAGCTGTCATGTGACCTAGCAATCCCACCTCTAGGTATAACTAACTACCCAAAAGAAATCAAAACAAATGTCCACAAAAAAACTTGTCCACACATGTTCACAGCAGTATTAATCACAGTAACCAAAGGGTAGAAACAACCCTGATGTCTAACTGGTGAAAGGATAAACAAAATGTGGTCTATCCATAAATGGAATATTACTTGGGCCATAAAAAGGAATGAAGCACTGATACATGCTATAAACATGGATGAAAACATGGGGCTAAGTGAAAGAAGCCAGACACAAAGGCCACGTATATGATTCCATTTACAAGAAGTGTCCAGAATGGGCAAATCCAGAGACAATAAGTAGACTGGTGGTTGCCAGGGATTGGGAAGAAGGGGAACGGGGAGAGACTGCTAATCGTACAAGGTTTCTTCTGAGGGTGATGAAAGTGTCCTGGAGTTAGGCAGTGGTGGCAGATGCATAACCTTGTAGATATACTAAAAGCATTATATTGTATACTCAACAAGGATGAATGATATGGCCTGTGAATTATATCTCAATAAAGCTGTTTTTTAAAAGAAAAGGATACAGTCGAATGGGGGCCCTCAGCATGGCGCACGCAGACAGACGGCCCAGCACATGGCTGGCGTGGCCTTGGCTCGAACCCCAGCTCCATGTGTTCTCACAGGGGGCCCTGGGCTGTCACTTAGGCTCCCTGACCTGGCCTCTCCAAAACGTGGATTCAATCATCCCTATCTCAGAGGGTGGGCATGAGGACAAAACAAGTTAACAGCATGCCGGGCCGGGCACAGGCAAGCGCCCACAGAAGTCAGCATCATGCTTGTCAACAGGGCCGAGGCTGAGAACCCTGATGGGCACAAAGCACTTAACCTTATGATGTTCCTGTGTCATTAGGACATGGCCATGACTGGCAGGGGGTTGGCAAGCTCACCACCCTGTCCCTAGCACAGGATCCTGACAGGTACAGGGAAGAGATGAACAAATGAGGCCCCTCTCCCTCTGCCCCCAAGCAGATCCCTGCAGGCCCATCTCTACTACCAGCTCCTGTCCTTGGGGACCGTGGCCCTTCCCGGCAGACCCCAGGACACTCACAGGAAATGGCGAAGAGGGCCTTAACGCGCACCGAATCACAGGGGTCTCGGTCCAGCAGCCGCAGCAGCTTGCGCAGGGCACCCAGGCCCAACACCTGCTCCTGGATGGCTGCCATGTTCTGGCTGCACGTGCCGATAAGCTGTGCTGCCCGCCACCGCAGCCCCGCGGGCCCTGCCTCCAGGTACCGGCCCACCAGCAGGTGCATGCCCGACAGCTGGCAGAAGTCTGTGCACAGAGAGGAGAGGAGAGAGGCCAAGTGTTATCTGCTGAGCTGTGTCTCCCCAGAAGTTACACATTAAACCCCCAGTGCTTCAGAATGTGCTGTATCTGGAGATGGGGCCTTTAAATAGGTAATTAAGGTGAAACGATGTCATATGACAGGTTCCAATTCAATCTGATTGGTGTCCTTATAGAAGAGATCAGGACACAGACACACAAATCCGCACCCCTACAGATGGAAGTGGCATATTGTCACTCGCTCATTCAGCCTTCCTATCAGCTCCACAGCATTTAGAATAAGCCCCGCGGCACTCACCTCACCCTGCGAGGCCCTGCACACCCAGCATCACTGCCCTCACTCACTCCGTGCTGCCTTACTGCTGCTCCTGCGCAGGCCAGGCATGTTTCCTGCCTCGACCTTTGCACTGGCCATTCCCTCACCCTGGAATGCTTCTTCCAGAGCGAATCCCAAGACATACACTTTCTTCAGGTCTCTGATCAAATACTGCCCCTCAGGGAGGTCTTCTGTGACCACCCTCCCCAGAACTGCTTCCTCTGTTACTCTAGGGAGTGATAGTGAAATCCCACCAGACTAAGGCAAAATGGCCAGTTTGGGGGTATATCAGGGAGGTAGTGGATTGATCCTGCTACCAGGCTAGCTGTGTGTGGGGTGAGAGAAAGTACCATCATTGTTCTTGATGGCAAGGGGACCAAGCAGCAAGGGACAGGGCATGAGGGGCCGGAGTCAGAGCCAGCTTGGAGGAAGGAAGCCTGGAGGCCAGGAAGTCAGGGAGGAGGCCAAGACAAAGGACAAGGGCTGCGCCACCTCAGGACGTGCTGAAGAGGCAAGACACAGAAGGGAGACCAGGAGGCGGAAGTGGAAAGACCCTGGTGGCTGAGGGGCAGGCTGGGGTGTACCTGCAGCGTTGTCCATGTTTTCACACAGGTCGGCCAGCAGCTCTAGGGCCCCCTCGCGTTCCTGCTGGTCAGTGGCCAGTTCAGCCTCCCCAGCCGAGGGAGGCATGGGCTGGGATAGCACTCGGAGGCAGTTCTTCATTTGCTCCACCTCCTCCCTCTGGCCCCGGCAGGCGGCCGACATGGCATCCTGCAACCACTGGCGCCTCTGGGGTGGGGGATGAGGTAGAGCAGGAGGG